ATGCAAGATGTTCTCCAGATCGCTGTGCAGGCTTTCCTGAGGATGAAGAAAGTCAATCTTTCCCCCAGCTGCCTCTTTGTCCACCAAAATGTGGGAGAAGCAACTGCCAAGGAGCAGAACATGGAAGGCCAAAGGCGTTTGCAAGAAAAGCTGGATGAAATGACCGTGATAGCTGCTCAGCAGGAATTCTGTGACATCTTGTCCTTCAGTGATGTCATTGGCTTTGATGTGAATACCCACATTCACTACTTTGCTCACCTGTGGGAAGGAAACCCCCCAATGGCACCACCCAACCCCACCTACAGCCAGAATGTCCAGCAACTAAAGAGCAAAATCCTCCAGGCTGCCAAGAAGCAGTCGCAGCACAGCATTTTGAGGCTCTCGAGCCTGAAAGATCGTATTGGTGACCTCTGGAATGCTTTGCTGAATGAAAACTTTGTTTTCAGCTTCAAGAATTCCCTGGAGATTGCTGTGTACAGGAAACTGGAAAGTGCCTTTAGTCGGTGGACCTGGAAGCTGAGGAGTCACATCTTAGACGTGCAGACAGGACTGGACAACCGAATTCGGAATGGGGACTTGCAGAATGTCACCAGAAAAGACCTTGAAGAGCTGGTGCAAAAGACAATTGGTGGCATTGAGAACGAAGTGGAGAAGTATTTCAGGGAAGACAAAGACCATGAGACACTGGTCCAGTGGAAATCAGGCACAGAGCTGAAGCTGAAAGAACTAAAAGAGACTCTTCTCCATGAAACGGAGAAGAAATGTGAGAGTCTTATAGAGCTACAGAAGGAGCAGAGGAAACTGGATGCAAGGAAGTTGGAATATGAAGATGAGCTGCTGAGAAGGAGTAGGGAGCTGGCTGTGACTCTGAAAGGGAAGAGCCTGAGTGAGAGAGAACTGAGAGACAACTTCACTCTTGTCTGGAACAAGTGGATTGCCGAAGTCTCCAGTGCTGCACATCCTCAGGAACGGGTGAATATCGATGCAGAGATTGAAGAAGTCCTTCTAGAGCACTTTAAGGAGCCAGGTTTCCATGCACGGATCACATCATTTCCCAAAGGCAGTGGATTTTCTTTCGACTTAGAGAAACATGTCATGAGAAGAAAATATTTTGGCTTTATCTCAGATCCCAGGAGCATTTCCAGTGATGATGTTATCAACTTGCAGCACATTACAGACAACATCATAGCGTGTGTCAAGGCAAACATTGATAAGAAGGAACAGGAGAAACAGGATTACAGTAGAAATTTTATCCATGAAATACTCAATGAAGTACAGAACGGTGTGAACTCCGTCCCCAGCCATGCCAAATGTATTTTTAACAGAGAGTACAGCATAGCTTTGTCTCTGTATCTGTGCAAAATGGCAGGGGAAAGGTTTAAAGCCATGCACGAAGCATTCCAAAAGGCAAATGACCCAGTTGTGTACCTGAGCAGCAAGAGAGAAGAGTTCTTCCAATGTTTCCAGATGTCCTGCCAAGGAGCCTCTCCGATCTCAACTTTTGCTGTTTTCCTTTGTGACAAGATTGAAGCGGCTCTTCGCCGGGCGGTCTGTGAGAGGACAGCTAAAGCCATCGCTGAGGACATGCAGGGCAAATTCCCAGATTTCAGGGGCAACAGAGCCAATCTGGAAATTTGCATCCTGAGATACCTGGCAGAACAAGAAAATTTTGAGTATTTCAAGGATTATTTGCATCCTGAGATACCTGGCAGAACAAGAAAATTTTGAGTATTTCAAGGATTACCTTAATTTCCCAGAAAGATTTTTTGAAAGATACATTGAAACACAAGTTTAGAATTACTGTTTAGGTAAGAGTGGGAGACTAGAGAACTTTTTAGATTGCTCCCTTAATCTTCTCTATCGAAACATCCTGTCAGCTGTTTCTTTATCAACCCAAATTGTCCAAGACAGAAAAGACGGAGAGGGCAAAGTCTCTCTTTGGCTGGATGAATTTTGCAGGGAACTGACAGAGGTGATCAACTTGCCCAGAAGTGACCTGAAGGGCATTGAGCACCAAGAGGTCAAAGATACTGAGTTCCTGAGGAGTGCCATGGCAGAAGCTCTGGATGACCTGAGGGACAGGCTCAGGAAAGAATTTGCTGGTGCTGATATGAGCTTGTTTTCATCACAGCCTCACACCATCCTGGTGGAGCAGTTTTCGGGGTGCTGGGAGCAGTGTCCCTTTTGTGGGGCTGTCTGCACAAACACCATGCAGGGACATGATGGGGACCATCAGCTGGTCTTCCATCGCCCACGAGCTTTAGTGGGAGCCAGGTGTTATGAAACAGACGAGCTGGTCATTGATATTTGTTCCAGCCTTGTCGCAAGCGATGTCTTATTCAAAATTGGTAACAGTGAATGGATTCCTTATAGGACATACCGTGATGCTGGACCCCGTTTTTCCAGTTGGAACATTCTTCCTGATTCATCTATGCAGGCATACTGGAAATGGTTTGTGTCTCATTTCAGGACACAGCTGGAAGCTTTGTACAATGGTAAATTTCAGGGCAAAGGAGAAATCCCTGAGGCATGGCAGAGAATTTCCAAGCAAGAAGCATTGGCCGAGCTGGACAGGCGTTAGACCACATCCATGGGGAGGAAGAACCACCAGGGCTTTGCAGTTCAGGAGAACTTTGTACCAGGCTCTCCACAAATTCAGTTACAATGGTGACGCTCTCAAGCCAAATGAAGAGGATGGTATCCAACTTCTCCCAGGTTTGGTGAAGTAAGGTGTTTTACTGTGGTTGTCACTCAGGAACTCCCTTGCTTGATGAGAAAGTCAGAATCCTCTTGCCTTCTTGCCATAGACATTTCCCTCTGCTTTGTCCTAGAGCTAAACCAAAGCTGCTTCATGCAGCGATCGGCCTCATGGCCAAGCCTGAGCCTGAGGGCCAGGGCAAGGGCAGAGGCAGCACTCAGAGCACCCCTTGGATCAGGTGCTGTGGCACAGGAAGAGACAGTGCCCCCAAGGCAGTTTTCCTTCAGCAAGGATGTGTCCTGCTCGGAGAAAGAGCTGCAGGACCTGAGGTCAGCTCCACGCTGGCTGCAAGATGGGCTGCTTGGATTTTGGGCGTCATCCTTCCCTCCCTCACTGCAGCCTCCTGGATCAACTGAGGCCCTTCTCCCAGCAGGAGCCGTTGTGCCTCCGGGCTCAGGAAAGCAGGGACACGATGGCGCTGGGGCTCAGGCAGTGCTTTCACTCCCAGTCTCGGAGGTGCTGTGTCTCTGTCCAGGGCAGCCGCTCCTGCTCAGCTGCCTGGGGCTGCTGCCCTTCCCTGCAGCCCTCAGGCCTGCAAGGAACTGCTCCTGCCCTTGGCCTCACTGCTGAGCAAAGGCCTTGGGAATGCCCCATGTGGAGAATCCTGCCTGCCAGCACCTTCCACAGCAGCCCTTGGGGCAGTGCTGGTGCTGTCCAGGCAGGCTGGTGGCACTGGAGCCGTGCTCTGGAGAAGGTGGCACCAGCTGGCTCTGGCCCAGGCAGGCGTGGAGGCTTTTGCTGTGCAGGTGCTGCAGCCCCGCTGGCAATGCGAGGGCCAAGCCCTGCTGGAGAGCTGGCTGAAGGGCTGCTTCAGCCTCATGCCCTGCAGGCTCTGCTAATAAAGGAGTTGATTTGGACCTCCCTGTTCTGTGTCCCCTTTGTGTTCAGAGCAGCCACAGCTGGGGGTGACTCGAGACAGGCAGGGGACAGGGAGTGGCACTGGGTGAATTACTGAGGCCTGAACAACGGGCCCTGCCTTAGGCCTGAACGTTCGGCCCTGAGCCCAGGTTTCCCAGTGGGTGAACCTTTCCACCATAAGTGATGTGTATCCACTCATTAGGGAAGCATTATTAGCCATATGATAAATGTATCTGCTCATTAATGAAGCATCATTAACAATAAGATCTATGAATGTGCTCATTAGTGAAACGTGCATTTATCTCTCCATATTTACAAATGGGACAAGATCCATGAAATCTGACATCTGTCCTTGTTTGGGGTTGTTGGATCAAAGACAACTCCCTTGGTTCCTGCTTTAGCCCCGGCCAGGCTTTGGGAGGAACCCAAGAGGAGAAAGAAAGGAGATGTTCCTGCCCTAGAAGTGATGTCAGCTTGGTTATTGAACAATATAAGAACAGGACCCTCTCACAGTGCAGTGGAAGCCTCGTTGCCTGCAGGTGGACGCCTCACAGAAATTCCCAGTTGCCGAGAGGGGCTCTCTGTTCCTTCACTGTGACAGGGGCTCCCCAGCTGATACGTGGAGCTGGAGGATGGTAAAGTCTTGGGGTAACTGGAGATGTATTGTGTGTCATCTCACTGTATGCAATCTTTTGTAGTAATGATGATGTGCCTTGGGGAGCTCATCCTTTTGTGATTCTTGGCAGTTTTGCACTACAGTAAATGACACCTCTTCCTTAAGTTGGTGCCTGTTTCTTTTGTGCTGAGCCTGCTGCCTGGCAAACACTGGGTGAGGGTCTGGGAGCTGGGGTGTGGCAGCATGTTGTAATGCATTTAGAAAAACGGTATAATCCAAGATGCACCCCTGAAATACAGAATGTTAGCTTCTCCCATCTTACCTCTTCCTCCCCAGTTTTCCTTATTGGTTTTAAGAATGTAACCCTTCCCCTTCCCCTGACTTTAAAAAAGAGCATGTTATCAACTTTCTTTCCCTGTGCGATCACCAGAGTGCTGGAATACCATCTCAGCAAAGGAGAGAGCCTCTGGTCAATGCTATAATATCTGCTCGCCTCCCTGGCTGCAGGAGGGCCGACAGTGGCTATAGAGAGGCAGAGAACATACATATAATATAGCAGATTGGTGCCCCAGTGAGAGGAGTTTTAGAACTCCCCACAAGCGACTGGAACTCCATTAGTGGGGTTCAAACAAGTCTGTTGGATGTAATCAGTTACCCTGGGAGACACACACTCTTTTCGGCGGCTGTGGTCTTGAGGAAGGACCCGATAGCCTTTTGAATCGTCAGAAGGTCGGATCCAGAGCAGAGGAGATTTTCTTGCATAGCAAACGCAAAGTCAACATGGTGGGTTTTGAACCGGTGGCCACAGAACATGCTGAGCTCTGTGCCCCTCCCCGCCCGCCACCAGTGCCGCCGCTGATCTTGTTCCCGTTCCAGTGGAGAGGTGTGGAGGATCCGGGTGTGATCCCCTGCAAGCCGCAGTGGCCTCGTGCGGTGGCGGGGCCGGTGCCAACCGCTGCCTGGGGTGGTGAGCAGCGGGGGAAGAAGGGCCCCCCCAAACGGCGGCAGACGGCGTGGATCCGCAGGCAATGGTGTGCATGGGCCGGCCAGCGGCAGAGCGACAGGACCCATCTGGGGCTGTGGCCAGTGCTGCAGGTGGTGGCAGGCAGCACCGCCGCTGTAGAACCAGTGGCTGCAGTGGGAGGGTGGCCCTGGGCTGTGGCACAGACGAGTGGCATGACTTCCCCTCCCTCATATCCCAGCCATGTATTTTTAGTTGCTTGGCAAGAACCACTGCCGCTGGGCTGAGCAGTTTGTCTTATCTCAGTGAGTGGGGTAGGGGGAGAGCTGAGAAAAGCCTATTATGGATGGCTTTGCTCCTTTTGCTGTGTAAAGAAGAAAAAAAACTAAAATGATTTTGTGCTAACAGCTTTTAACAACAACAAAAAAAATGGGATCAAAGCTATCTACACCCCAACCAAATTTAAATCCAAATTACAAGAATTTTTAAATTCCACAGATGTTAAGATTTCTTGAAAAAAGTTGAAACATTTTATCTCATGGCTGTCCTATAACACTCCACAGCTTGACATGCTAGATGTAGATTCTGTCCCTGCATGGGATAGAATCAGCAATTTCTTAACACTTAAAGTGGAGGAAGGAGACAAATTTGCTTCAAAGTATCTCCCGTTTTTTCTTATAATTCAAAAATAATTGATTAACAGAGAAAAAGAAATAAAAGAACAGCCACTGCAATTTCCATTGGTTCCCCCTAACCCTTCCCCTGAACCCTCTGCTCCTGAGCTGAAGAAGACGCATAGAACAGATCCAGAAACTCAGGAAATGCACCTTGACAATGCCATTCCTGGTTCCATGTGTCTCATTCAGCCCCCCATCTCTGATAGTGCTGTGCAAGCTATCAGAGGGCTTTCGCTGTACCCTCATATCCAGACTGTTAAAGGCAATGAACCCCCCTATCCCCGCATGGCTGGGATCCAAAATGATGCTGGCCATGTGCCAGATAGCCATGAGGGGAAACCACCACCGTATTTCCTTCCCCCTTCCCATAACCCCTTCCACCCGCCTGTCTCCATCCATAACCCCTACTCCTCCCATAACCCCTCCCTTCCCTCACACATTCCCCTTCCCTCTACAATACCTTCGCCCTGCATGACACTACCCTGCAACCCCACCTCTAAATGTGGTAAACCTGCCCCCTGTCCCCACAGGGAGGGGGGAGGTGGGAGGGATAGCTCTACCCCCTGCTCCCGTGGGGGGGGGAGAGAAAGGCGTATCACGTCTTTGCCCCCCAGAGCAGGGGGGAAATGGGTCCCTGCCCAGCTCCCGTGGAGGTGGAGCTGGGTCCCTCCACGGCCCTGGTAGTGAGGCAGTGTTATAAGTGATCTTTTTGTTGAACTTGGGAGGTTAATTAAATTTATTATTACTAGAGTGTTAATTGATATTATGAATTACAAAGTTATAAGGGATAAAAGTTAACTATGTTTAAATATGGTGTAAAGTTGTTAAGATGACTAGGATTGTTAAGGACTTTGGAATATTCGGGGTTGAGACTGGATTGGGGTTGGGTGGACAGAATGGGGGATTGGTAAGAAATAGAAGGGAGCTTTATGGGGGCCTGGAATAGAACATTTAGAAACATGAAGTAATGAAGATGTTATCAGCACCATGAGTAATGATTGGAAGAAGAGTCCACCAGTCATTCGATGCCCTGGACAAATGATTGGACCAGGATGAACGCTGCTATAAACCAATCAGAGCCTGAGAAAGCGACCAATCCTGGAGAGGATCCAAAATGGACCAATCCAGGGCTAAGGGAGAGTATTAATCAGGGTGCTGAGTGTTATCAGGGGCTTTTTCTGTTGGAGAACCTGTTTGTATACTTTGTTGCTATCCTGGTTTGTAGCGTGGGGCACACAGGATTAGCCTATGTCCTCTTTCAGCTGCAGCTCAGTCTTAATCAACGAGCCTGACTTGAATTTACATTAAAAAGTCTCGAGCCTCGGTTATAACAGTTTTCTGGGGGCTCGTCCGGGATATAGCCATAACAAATTTCGGCCTGGGGATTGGGTATTAATTAGAACATGGAAAGAACAGCTGTTGACTCCAAAGTGGGAGGGCCCTTTACAGGTCCTTCTGACAATGGAAACAGCAATTAATACCCAAGAGAAAGGATGGACTCATATTTCAAGAGTAAAAGGGCCTGTTTCTGCCCCAGTTGAGTTTCTTACCCCAGGTGACTGACCTGAAAGGGACAGATAAAAAGATGAAACTTATAACGATAGTATTGGGAAAAAGTTATTTAAAGGTTGCAAGCTCTAATGAAAGCTAAATACTCAGTTAAAGTTTGTGAGTTGTAATGGACATTGAATACTTAGTTAAATTGTGTATCTTGGTAAAAACTGAACTTCTGGTGTTTCTTTTGCAGATTCTGAGTTCAAGAAGTAGAGCATTCTCCCAGGTGTTTAGCAAATTTGACCCCAAAAAGGGAAACAGGAGACTAAACCAGTTGACACAGAGGGAAGCTCTAACGCCTGCAACCAGGTAGCTGGTAAGAACACCAATCCAGGGCAAGGAGAAGAGGAGGCAAGACTGGGTAGGGAAACACGTCCTGAACAAGAGACATGAGTTCTCTGAACAAGAATGACAGAGTGCCCTATACCAGACTCCCATGGATTCTAGGCCTCCTAATGATGAACACCTCGATGGGAGAGGCTGCCCCTTGCGATAGGTGCTACTACCCATTATATGCATGGGATACTCGATCAACCATCCTCAGAGTGCATACAAACCCGAGCCCCTCCTGTGTCAACTCTTCGCAGTCAATAATTTGTACAGAGGATGGGAAAACTTATTGGCAACTTGAAAATGTAGGAAATTTTAAACAGAAACTACTGAGAGAATGCCCTATGAAAGAAAAATGGATATGTTCAGAGAAAAAACAGGCAAACCTGGGAGGGAATCAACAAATTTATGAGCATCATCTAATTAAAGAGGAAGAAATACAAGGGGTGCTTAAGAGGTCTCCTGAAATCCAATTGGTAGGAGGTAAAAATTTGTTTCTGGATTTAGTTGAGAAAATCAGTTGAGAATTTAATGTAACAAATTGTTGGATTTGTGGTGATATGAGGATGGCAGAAATATGGCCGTGGGAAGGAATACCTTTAAACCTGCAGGAGATTTTAAAGCTATTAGACAAAGAAGAGCCAGGACTAGATAATAGACCATAAGAAGAAATCTTATGAGTTTGAGATCCAAGGTGATTGGGGAAGAATACTTGTGGCAAAGAGGCCCAAGGTATACAGTATATGTGGGAGAGCTTCACCCTCCCACATGTAAAAAGTATCTGGTAACAAATTATACCAACCAATGGTGGATTCCAAAGGCACCCCAGTTACATTGGGCTAAGAAGTGAAAAACAGGTTGTGGGCTGGTAAAAAGGGAAAAATTATACGAATGTATTACTTGTCGTAGGGTTAGTTCAACATCACACGGGGCACCAGATGTCGTTCTGATTGGGAACGGCTAGAAAGAACGACACAAACTCTCAAGGGAGTTTCAACACAAGAATTCCTTAGTTTATTCTTTCAGGCCTGTCTTATAGACAGATACGTGGAAAGGTACAGAAAAGAAAATCTTATTGGTTAACAAAGTGTTACATCACCATCGTTGGTCAGGGGCACACTGCCCCCCTGACTCTTTCCTGCAAGGTAAACAAAAGGACAGACAAACAGCACCTGGCAGTTGTTTTCTGTCTCTGAGGATTGTTTTGAAATCCTCCTTTGAATTCCTAGGCTAGCTTCTCAGGCAGGACTGAGAGGCCATGGGCCTGCAGTTTCTGCAGCTCCCTGCAGCCTGTTCCAAAGTTAGCATCCATAATTACTAAAGAAGAAAACCCCTTTCTAGATAAGCCACAAATCTCCAAGTTTTGGAATAAAAGTGGTATAACTTCAGTAAAAACAGACACATACTGGAAAGCCCCAAAAAATATCTTCTGGTTATGTGGGAAGTCAGCTTATATAATGCTTCCTAAAGACTGGGCAGGGAGATGCACCCTGGGGATCATTAAACCTTCCTTCTTCTTGCTCCCCAGAATAGAAAAGCAGCATTTAGGGATCCCACTTTACGATGAGTTAAGAAGGAAAAGGAGAGAGATTTTAATCAGAGATACACAAAAGTGGGGAGAAGATGAGTGGCCTCCTGAGAG